CGGTGGGAGGTCCCAGGGGGTCGTGGTCGTGGGGGTGGGGGTGGTGGGAGTAAGGGTTGGGGCGAGTCAGGGGACAAGAGGCGAGGGAGGCTTAGATAGGGAGGTGGAGGTCCTGGGGGGCGAGTTAGGGGCAGGGGTCCCAGGAGGGGGCGAGTCAGGGGACGAAGGAACGGGGGGAGGGTTGGGGGTTCTGGGGGGGCGGGAAGTGGGAGGGGCAGGGGCGGGGCTAGTGCGGGGCTCCTCCCGTCCTCTTTTTTGCTTGCTGAAATATGGTAACCCTATCATTTCCAGTCTGAATTTGTCTAGCTTCAACTTCCAGCCATTGGATTTTGTTGTATCTTTGATAATAGATAACCCTTTACTCAATCTTGCGGCTTTTCTCTGAACACCCTTCATTTTATCAACATTCTTCTTGAATTGTGGATATCAGAACAGGACGCGGTATTCCAGTAGCAGTTGCCAAATAGAGAGGTAATAAAACCTTCCTACTCCTCCTCAAGATTCCCTTGTTTACACCTTCACAGATCACATTCGCCCTTTTGGCCAGCATTGCACTGGGTGGGTTTAAGCTTTTATATGTGTCTCTTTGGTGATTGGCACATTTTAAATGAGAAGGTACAAAAAAACAAAAACAAACCACAACAAAAGTTCTTAAGAACAACGCAGAGCACTGTCAGAATAACTTGGAAGGAGACAGGTTATTTAGCAGCTCTAAGTGGGTGACCAATATAAATGAGATGCTCAGAGACTACCCGAGCTGGGGAACAGCGTTCAATGACATTCAGAAGCTAATGATGCTGGGCGTCAGGTGGGATTCCCACTGCCCACAAAGGTTTCTCTGGGGGCTGGTCTACACTGGGGAGGGGGACGGTCGATCTAAGATACGTAACTTCAGCTACAAGAATAGCGTAGCTGAAGTTGACGTATCTTAGATCGACTTACCTCCCGTCCTCACGGCGCGGGATTGATGGCCGCGGCTCCCCCGTTGACTCTGCTTCCGCCTGTCACCCTGGTGGAGTTCCGGAGTCGACGGGGAGTGCGTTCGGGGATCAATTTATCGTGTCTAGATGAGACGCGATAAATTGATCCCTGATAGATCGATTTCTACCCGCCGATCTGGCGGGTAGTGAAGACGTACCCAGTGTCTCCCACGTACGGTACCATTGAGATCAGCCTTTCTGAATGGTGCTTTCTCAATTCTCACCCAGCCCGGTTGGGACTCCTGACAGGAAAATGAAGGACCTGTGGGTGACAGCAGATACTGGGATCCGTGATAGAGAAGCACCTCCTTCTCCAGCATGTTGGTTTCTTCAAGCTCTTCCATCTACAGGCTGAGCTCAAGCAGGTGACAGTGGGCCAGCTCTGCAAAGGTACTTAGGTGTTGCAATGCCTAACCCCTGGGTGCCCCACCACCCAGTGACATGCTCAGCCCTGGTTCCCAGGCTCCCCCAGGTGTTGAACAGGGAGAGGTAGAGGCCTAAGGAAGGAATCGTCTGAAACCAGACAGGCTGAGCAGAGAGCCACCTAAGCTAGGCAAGAGTGAGATGAAGAGGAAAGTTCACTAACTCTGATTGATCTGGGTCTTGTGCATCTGAGAGGGAACTCACTCCACTCTGGATTCTCAGCCATGAAACCCTCTCCAGGAGTTAAGCACCTGAGCTAGGTCAGCTGCCTAAGCAGTCCATGCACTGGCGGGGAAGGGGAAGGAAGAGAGACACAACTTCAGTACATCCAATAGTCCAGTGGTTACAGCACTCCCCTGGGTTCAAGTCCTTGCTCCATCTCATTTAGAGTAGGATCTTGAACCTGTATCTCAGATGGTTCTTTCTCAGCCCCCTCAATGAATATGTAATGATTTATACACAGAGGCACAACTCTAACAGGAGTGATGGAGAAAACCATAGTCCCCTGGTTAGGGGACACATGTGGGAAACATGGGTTCAAGTCCCTGCTCCAGATCACAGCAGGGCTTTGCATTTGGGTCTCCTACCTCCTACTTGAGTGCCCTAATTGCTAGGGGAGACACACAAAAGTCACAACCTGGCTGTCTTTTGGTATCGGGTCCTGGTGTTTGCTCTGAGAATCCCAGTGGAATTGGGTCATGCTGGCAAGATAGATGGGGGGAACATCTCATCTAAGAATCCCATTTCGTGGCCACTGGGGCTTTAGCTTTGGCATGAGCTTTGAGCATCAGTGCATAGCCAATTTCGTTCATTCCCCCCAGCAGAAATTGAGGTGCCTGTGGGGTTAGGTGGCAGCTCAGCAGTGGTTTTGAAAATGTCAGTGGTGCCTAACAAGGCTTTTAGGTGCCTAAATATTTTTGTGTCTCAGGGCTTAAGTGACCCCTAGAAAGGAGGCAATTTCACCCCTTCAGAGTTACCCACTCTTGGCACACATCCAGTGATTCCAATTATGGGCACTTCCTTCCATTCCTGAAATCCATCAGCTTGTTGCTGTGCCAACCGGGGGCCTCACCCTGAGTACCCCTCCCCCAATCAAAGTTCTCCTAGTCCAAACACATCCGGTTCAGTACCAGTCTGTCTGTTTCCAACTTCTTCTCATTTCATAACCCGTCAGGCTGGACTTTGGTTCCCTGCCACCTTCGTTGAGCAACTAACAACACCAGCGTCTGCACAGCATCTCCTAGAGTTAGATTCTTCTTCCAGTCACCCTGTTGCCTGGGGAATTAAAGGAGCGGGGAAGGCATCAACGTTTTTGGGACATCCCTCCCACAGGACATGGATCCATGTAAGTCATGGAGCCCAGCCAGATGTCGCGGTGTATGGAGAGGCAGGGACAAGTCTATAGAGTGAGTGAAAGGCCTGAACTAAGTGGTCTTCCCTCTGTCTCTCTGGCTTCATGGATGAGGAATGGGACATGGGAAGGGAGAGCACCCAAGTCTAAGGAGACTCTTTCTCTCCTGTTCTCCCAGACATTGGCAGGAGGCAGAAGAACCAGCAGCTTGGCAGCAAGGAGCTGATTAGTCATTTCCTTCTTTGTCTGGGGTTTGTAGGCCAGGCAGAGTCAGAGGTCACTGGTCAGCATGGGGTTGGCTGCTGCTGGCTGGCTCCTGGACAGATATTTGACTGTATCCTGCCCATATTTGTGGGATTGAGCAAATGCATTACTCATTTTGGCCAACCTGATTGAGGGCCCATGGAGAATTTCTCTCACGCGTGTGTTCTCTGGTGTTTCGTGAGGCCTGTGCTTGATCTGAAGCTTTTCCCACACTCGGGGCATTTATAAGGTTTCTCTCCTGTGTGGAGTCTCTGATGGATAGTGAGAGTTGAGCTGGCCCGGAAGCACTTCCCACACTCAAAGCATTTATAAGGTTTCTCTCCCGTATGGATTCTCTGATGTCTAATGAGGGTCCTGCTGTCTCTGAAGCTTCTTCCGCAGTTGGGGCATACATGAGCTTCATGTCCCATGTGGGTTCTCTGATGGACGACAAGAGCTGAATGAGCTTTTGTAGTGTAGCTTTTCCCACACTCAGGGCTTTGATGGGGTTTCACTGACATGTGTTTCTTTTGATGCTTTTGGAGGGATTCACTCGTGATGAAGGTTTCCACGCTGTCAGGGCATTGGTAGGCTCTCTCCCTGCTGTGGATTTTGCGATGCTTATTGAGGGACTTGTTTGCAATGAAGGCTTTCTCACAGTCAGGGCATTTATAGGGTCTCTCCCCTGTGTGCATTCTCCTATGGCTAATGAGGCTTGAGTTGGAGATGAAGCCTTTCCCGCAGTCGGGACATCTATAGGGTCTCTCTCCTGTGTGGGTTCTCCGGTGTCTAAGGAGGGACGAGCTACTACAGAAGCTTTTCTCACACTCGATACATACATGTTTTCTCTGTGCCATCTGTACTCCTTGCTGGCTTTTAATGTTGAGATTTTTGTGACCTTCCCCACTGTGAGTGGATTGAACCCATCTCTTCTCTGGGTGGTTTCCTTGCAGCCTCTCTGGCCTGCCCTGACTCTCACAGGCTAGAGAGACATCCCCTTCTGACCTTCCTGATGATATCTCACCACCTTCCCATTGAGGATCCTCCTCCTCCTTCTCACTCACCATCCCATCACCTGCTGGGACAGAGAGAGAATCCAGGTTTCAGAGTAGCAGCCGTGTTAGTCTGTATCCGCAAAAAGTACAAGTACTTCTGTTCTTTTTTAGAGAGAATCCAGACAGGAGTCAGTCCCGGTGCTGAGGGGAAGGGAGGAAAGGGAACCTCAGAAAGAGGGGAACAAACAAAATAACCACCGGGAAGATTGAAAAATTAGGAGCCAATTTTCCCCACCCCCAACTTTTTCACCAGAGGAGAGAGAGGAGGGCACCAATTCTGCCTTCACATCCCATCTGAATACTCAGGTGGAGGGAACTACAGCCAAGTCTCAGTCAGGAGGGGTGGGAAGCCATGAGTGACTCTGCCATGAGGATACGGTACCTGATGGGCACAAGCCTGACCTGAGTGAGATGAGGAAGAAGAGGAGGCGCTCATGGGGCCTTTGTCATAATCCCACCATTTTCCTTTCCTCAGCCATTGTTTCAGAACGGGTCTAACGGGTTCTTCCTCTGAGCTTTCCTCGGAGCTCTGGATATCTGGGATCCAGGCCTCTTCCCCTCGTTCTAGCCGAGCAAGCAACTCAGGTTGGTAAATCGGAGATCCTGCTCGGGGGAGAGAAACAGGTGACAACAGCGTGAAGCACAGATTTTCGGCGTGTTTGATACAGAGAATGTGCTGTGATTTTTTCAAACCTAACCTCTTCTTAAAAAAATAAAATCCTCTGGCCACCCACCTGGCTGCTCAAAGCCACAGGACCCTCTGCTAAGGGTGGGGATTTAACTCTTTAGGTCTCTGCTGGGAACACACACAGCCAGATGCCCGTCATCAAAGGGGTTCCTAGTTACATAGAAAACAGCTCCGTTTCCCTGGATCTGCTCCTTGAAAACAGAGAGGGGCCCGGTGACTGTGAGAGAATAGTAAGGAGGCTCAGGGCCAGTGAACACAGTCCTTGCCCTGAAAACTTTGCAATCTAGTTTAAGACGGGGATCAGTGAGTGAGTGTAACAAACAGCAAGGGAGAGGGGAGGCTGAGGGAGGATAACAATGATTAGAACAGGCAGTGACCCACCCTAGCAACACCCACGGCCTAAATGAAAATGGTTACATTTTTAAACAAAACCAACCTCTGTGCATTTCTGCCTCCCTCTCTGTTTAGGAACAAAGTATGTAGGTTACACTGGTAGGATGGGGGACTGTATCATGGGAAGCAGTGACTTTGAAAAGGACTTAGGAGTCACGGCGGATAATCAGCTGAATATGATCTCCCAGTACAATGCTATGGCTAAAAGGGTTAACATGATCCTTGGATGTATAAACAGAGGGATATCAAGGAGGATGGGGGATGCATACAGCATTGACACAACCATTACTGGACACTGTGTTCAGTTCTGGCATCCACCCTTGAAGCTGGGTGATGAAAAAATTAGAAACCGTTCAGAAAAGAGCCATGAGAATGATTCAGGGTCTGGAAAACCTCTCACACTGAGAGAATTAAGAAGCTCAAATTTTATTTTACCGAAGAGAAGGTTAAGTGGTGACTTGGTCATAGCCTAAAAGCACCAACTGAAAGAGGAGATTTCTAATAGTTTTCAAGCTAGCAAACAAAGGCAGAACAAGATCCAATGGCTGGAAGCTGCACTAGAGAAATTTGTACTAGAAATCAGATACAAGCTTTTTTTAACAATGAGGACAATTAACCATTGGAACAACTGGCCAAGGGATGAGGAAGATTCTCCATTTTCTAGAATCTTTAGATCCAGATTGGATGTCTCTTTAAAAATGATCTGCTCCAGCCCAATCAGTAGTTATGGACTTAACTGGATGAAATTCTCTGGCCTGTATTATGCAGGAGGTCAGACTATATGATCATAGTGGTCCCTTGTGGTCTTAATATCCATGAAAATATGTGTCCATTTTTAAAATAATCTTTTTCTTTCTTTTTTTCTTTCTTTCTTAACCTCAGCCTATTTCTATTATTTTATAGTAAAATCTCAGACTCTAATTCCTCGGGAAAAGGACAATGGAAATTCCTCAGGAAAATAAAAATGGGACCATGTCACTCAAAGGTCTAAGTCTAAAATCAATCTGTTCAGGAAAGACAGAAGAAGCTGAACAAGGATACCCAGAGTCAGTTACGGCTGCAGGGAAAAGAGGAATGTAGCAGAAAAGAAGAATGAACTAGTGTACCCAGAGAGGCTAAGGAGAATAATGTGAGATTTTACAAAGCTACCAGGGCAAAAAGGAGCATTGGAAAAGGTAGATCCATTAACAAATGGAGGGTAAGGAAATGAATGATGACTCAGAGATGACCAGGCACTAAACTACTTTATAAAGCCCTCTCCAGCAAGTAAAATATGGAGATGCAAGTTGTGGACCCATAGTTAAGATTGACATTAAGGCTAATTTTGCACTTAAAGCAGGATTCAGCCTCATTGTTATGTCTGAAGAACACAGTGTATCCTCCCCAAAACTGCAGTGCTTACGTTTTGAAAATGGAATAATTTTTTTGAGAATTTGCTAGTAAATCCATTCATTAGTTTACAAGTCAAAATTAATTAAATAATGGGTCATTTAAGAAATTTTACCACTTGGTGTCTCACTTTTTTCAATTCAAGTGATCTTAGTAACATAATAACGCAGACTCTTTAAACTTCCCTTATAGTTAAAACTCACTGGCATCTTCTATATAAGTTAAATTTTAAGGGCTTTTGTGTGTGTGTTTGTTTTTAAGATTCATGGTCATTTATTGCCGACATTGTTCATATGAAAATTTCTCCAACAGAATAATTTTCAGAGAGTTCCGTGAAGCCCTGCTCTATTTCAGAATGGGGGGCTGCCCGAAGCCGGTAGCGCTGGCTCGGGCAGTTTGGCTCTTAAATAGAGCCGAAGTCTGAGAGGGAAGGAACAGAGCAGCCGCGGGAGGGGAAGTGCCCGGAAGGTATTTTTCCCGGACATGTTCGGCTTTTTGGCAATTCCCCCCGGATGGGGGTTTGATTGCCGAAAAGACGGACATGTCCGGGAAAAAACGGATGTATGGTAACCCTATTCAACCCACTTTGGGGTCCTGATCCACAGTTTGAGAACCGCTGTCCGCAGGCTGCCCTTAGCAAAGCTGGCCACAGTCTCCATTCATTACTACTCTCTTAAATCCTGACAACCTACGGTGTGTCTACCCTGCAATAAAAAACCTGTGGCATCAAGTCTCAGAGCTTGGGCTCCAGCCTAAGCCTGAATCTCTACACTGCAATTATATAGCCCCAAAGCCCCAGCCTGAGTCAGCTGACCTGGGCCAGCCGCAGCCATGCTGCAGGTCTTTGACTGCAGTGTAGACATACCCATAAAGGGCAGCTTGGCTGAATTCCCCCTTGAGAACAATAAGAGAGGACGGCTATTTTGAAAGAGGATAATTTTGTGTGAGTTTCTCTGAAGGAGAAGATTTTACAGCCTCTGTAGAAGGATAAAACTTTCTATCATGACAAAAAACAGCAAACAGTGACCCTTAGTCCTAAATCTTTATTTTCAAAAGCTGCACATTGCACCAGACCAATTCAACCAGGGTTTAACGTGCACTGGTTCCAAAAGGGTCAGACATATTTTTAGTACTGCATTTGGGAGAGAAAGCTCTCTTATTGGCTGACTTCCCTACTGCCCCACCTCTTGGGTATGGGCAGCCAATCAGGGCTGCTGCAGGAGGCAGGCGAGCTTTCCTCCATCCCCTGAGGAACCAGCACTGTTCTCACAGTAGCTCAGGATGGTTCTGCTCCCTTGTCCCACACCATGAGCAACATGACAACTCCTCTGCTTCTCCCCTCTCTCCCTGCAACACCTGGCCTGGGAGCAGGGATGGTGGGGGGAACCTTAGTGTAGCCCCCCACCTCCCCGGCCTGGGACAGTGCTTGAAGAGCCCCAAGAGCTGCAGGAGGGGCAGAGGGGGGGGGGCGGGCAGAAGAGATGTGGGAGCAGAACAGATGGGGGACTGGGGGCCAGAATTAATGGCAAGGTCTGAGGATAGATAGATGTGGGGGTGATGGTAGACCCTCATTTCAGGTAGGAGGGGAAAACTTGGGGGGGTGCATGCACTCACACGTGTTTTTATGTGTGTGCGTGCACTCATGTGCTGGGGAATGTGAAGTGGAGGAGGGAGGGAGTGGGTGCAGGGAGTTGCAGAGAGGCACAGGGAAGTTAGGTGTGTTTTCAGGGGACTGGGGGATTTGGGGAAGCATGTGCACTGTGGGAAACTGGGATGCAAAGCACCTGTCAACCCAACTGGATGGTATGCTCTGCTTGCTATGTGCTGCTCCGGAGTGGTGTCAAGCAGCCACAGCCTACAGCTGAATCTGGCCAGCGCTGCCAAGCGTTGCTTGTCTTGCATGGCACCCAGCATCTTGCCAGGCTTGTCTGCAGTCCGGATGCCCAGCTGGGGCATGGGCTGCAATTTTGCCTCATGGCTGCCAGAGGCTCTGGGGGAACCTGCTGAGTGGGCAACCATGTGGCTTCCATCTCACTGTTTCCCTGCCTGTATCCAGCAGTGGGAAGCAGTAAGCAGTGGCACCAGAGACAGCAGGTCTCAGGCTCCCCCACCCAGCAAGCAGCCAGCTCCCCATGAACATTCCCAGCCAACTACTCCCACACCCAGACATCGGCCATCCCTGCCAGCTGCCGCCATCTACCCTTGACCCTTG